ATAACCAAATAATCCAGATATATCAGGCCTGTGGGCAGACCGATAAAGTCTACCAAACCTCATCAATGCACAGGCGCTTAGGTGTTCGCAGCGAATTCATTCTCAAGTCAGTACAATCGCATTTATGCTGGAAAACAAGTTGAAGGTGATACAATACGGTGAAATATTCTAGGTCAAATAATGATAGAAAAGAGATGAGTTAGGGACAATTTTGTCTTTAGTTCTCCTGTAACATTTAAAGTCGTACTTGGGTTAACGATTGATCAGTGGTCAGTTGCAGAGTTAGAGCAGGTTAAATCATCATGTGTAACAGCTTGCGATGAATCCCTGCATTATAAACCTCACCGTAGCAACCAATTACCTAGAGGCATCTCGTTGCGCTTCAAGAACTAAAATAAACCAACAAATTGTGCAATGCAAATCTCGCTTGCATATCCGGGAGTGGATTTGTAACAAACAAGCGTCGATAAGTCATTTCAATGATTCTGTAATAAATGTTGTGGGTTGGATACTTCTAAACTTAGACAATTCAACGTCAATGCCGTTTTTCCAGTATTTTACAATGAGTAGGATATGAATGGCTGGACGGACATTCCGAGAAGAAATCTATTTGTTTCTGGCCGCCTGTCAGGTATGCGTATCCGAGGAAAAACAAGAAGAAAAATTCAGCTAAAGTACATCACACTGCGACTAAACTGAGAACAGAATGAAAAAAGAAATCACAGGAACGCTGAAAAAGTTCAGAGATTAAGGGGCAAACCCTCGTGGGTTGAACACGCCTAGACTATGGGGTTTACTGAAGATTGAAAAACCTGTTTCATCTCATCGTTCCATACTGTCCAAGACAAGCTTAGCCTAGTGCGCTACTGCCTAATGGCTAGCACATGTTCTCAATCCAGTGCACGAAAAAATCGCAAAGCACATAGTACAGGATAATACATTTATGATTGCTACGAAAAACGTAAATTTTGCAGGAAAGCAAATCTTCTCTCTTCTTGTCGATGTCATATCCCTGTTCCTTATCGTAGCTCCGATAAAAAAAAACAGTAAACCTCCGCCGTGAATTCATTACGAAGAACAAAATGCACGTGGATAGACTAGTTGAAGACCTCAACAGATCGATACTCAGTCGAAGGCTCAATGTGCAATTCTTGCTTGATATATGTACTACCACCGAAAGGACGGATTCGTCATGGGGTCGCCCTTGAGGCCAGTCCTTGTACGAACATTTTTGTGACCAAATTAGGGATCAGCCCGCTTCACAAAGGTATCGATAACTTTGATCCCTACTACAACTGTGTAGGAGATATCTTCTAGTTCCGAGAAAATGGATCTCAGTGATGTTTTATTGAAATATAATATGACACATTCTGGGATACGTCTTACAGTTGAGAAATTATGCAACTGGAGCTGGAAAAATAACTCTTGTCATCCAACTCCCGTTCAACAGAGATCCAGTAGCCGCAGTTGAGACACTTTCAACGCCGTCTAACTGAGACGCGTGTTCTCGATATCACCCATCATTCCATATCAGAACAGGGTTAAGTTGCCTCTGTTGACCTGGTCAGTGCTCATCTGCCGATTCAAGTGAATTGGTGGTGCCAACTACGTAGATCGTACTACAAGGCAACTATCTAAAGGGATCAAACAACATCAATCCATGTGGCTTAGATACGGAGGGAACGGGGTTATTCCCAGCTCGATTGCTGCACACTTGTTAAAGACTGTGGATACTATTCGATTATCACTTTCACTTACAAAATCCCAAAACACAAATTCAAGGTTAATGAGGAAACTGGCTTGTCTTAGCCACGACGAACGAAAAACTAAAACACAAGGCGTTAGTGACAGCGTTTCGATCCTCTTGGAAGGCCTTTCTTAAGTCATTTAATCGGTTAACATAACGTTACAAGAAATTATAAGGCGCTGGGACGATGACATCGTATAGAACT